CTGGGGGGGCGGCAGCGGGTGGGTGTTGTCCCCGGTCAGCGCCCGGGGGGTTGATGTCCGCCGAGAAAGTGTGAAAGGGTTTGTTTGTCGCTTCGCTTTCCCGGGCGGGGCGGGGGCGACACCCACTATCTTATTTTAATCCCTGCGTTTTGATAAACCTTGAGCTGGAAGGTTATACTCTAGATGGATGTTGAAATGCAAGTTCTGCCGTGTTCTCCCGAAAAAACTGAAGCCGGTATACTTACTGGCTCCTGAAAACACGAGGGTTTTCGGGGGTCACAGCAGCGCGCACCTTTCCCGGAGCGACGCTTGCTGAGTAGCGTGAAAAATTCTGTGCATAACCTTTGCAGGGTCGTATGGATGGGTCGGGTTCTGGGAAGTCCTGGCATTGTAAACCAGTGAGTTAATTGGTGCTACAGTGGCAGCCACGAGGAGCAGGTGCTTTTTTGGGGAGACATTATTTTTTTAATTTTACTACCATCACGTCTCCTTTCTGCAAAAATCTTACTCTCTGGCTGTATTTTGAGACCCAGAGAACCGAGTCAAAATCTCCCATTGTATTAGCCTAATTTGCAATTCCCTTCCAATCCTTTAAATAAAGTTCAGACCTTGGTAAAGTGCAAGTAATGAATATTCATCCGTATCTTTTCAGTTTGGAAAAAAAAAATAGAGGGGAGGAAGCCCCTTCACCATTTCCTACCTCTATTAAAACATGAGGAAGCTGGTGAATCGGTAGGAACCATCCCGCCGCGGTGGTTATGTTGAAATGCAAGTTCTGCCGTGTTCTCCCGAAAAAACTGAAGCCGGTATACTTACTGGCTCCTGAAAACACGAGGGTTTTCGGGGGTCACAGCAGCGCGCACCTTTCCCGGAGCGACGCTTGCTGAGTAGCGTGAAAAATTCTGTGCATAACCTTTGCAGGGTCGTATGGATGGGTCGGGTTCTGGGAAGTCCTGGCATTGTAAACCAGTGAGTTAATTGGTGCTACAGTGGCAGCCACGAGGAGCAGGTGCTTTTTTGGGGAGACATTATTTTTTTAATTTTACTACCATCACGTCTCCTTTCTGCAAAAATCTTACTCTCTGGCTGTATTTTGAGACCCAGAGAACCGAGTCAAAATCTCCCATTGTATTAGCCTAATTTGCAATTCCCTTCCAATCCTTTAAATAAAGTTCAGACCTTGGTAAAGTGCAAGTAATGAATATTCATCCGTATCTTTTCAGTTTGGAAAAAAAAAAATAGAGGGGAGGAAGCCCCTTCACCATTTCCTACCTCTATTAAAACATGAGGAAGCTGGTGAATCGGTAGGAACCATCCCGCCGCGGTGGTTGCACTGTCACAGGCAGGCTGTTGTTGCTGCAGCTGCAGAACCTCAGCTGGTAGGAAGCTGCGGGAGGGAGGAGGGGAGGAACTCGAAGGCAAAAAACAGCCTTGGATTTGTTTGGGGCACGGGAAACTCCCGAGATAATAAAAAAGTGGGTGGGAATTTTTCATTTTTTTGAAATGCAGTCTTTGCGTAACTTCAGTTGAGCCAGGGCTGTGTTCAGACTTTTCTAACAGGAACATGGTCTAGGTTCTTCCTAGGTCCCTGTTAGCTTGGACTTTTCTAAACCAATTTAGCTTTCAGATAATCCTGAATCTCTTCAAGGCCCTAGTGCTTCGAACTTGCAGTCTAAAAATATCCATGGCTTTGCTGGGTTTCAACTGTATGCAGCAAAGAGGAATGCCACTGCTGCTGTTACGTGCTGCAGCAGTGTGCTTTTGTAAATACTAAGTGCTAGGAGTTTGGAAAAAGACTTTTGTAACTGTAATCCTGAATGACACACGCAATTCCTGGACTACTCTATCTTACATTTCTAACTTTTTTTCATTGTGAAAGGTAGCGTGCAGCATGAAGAGATTTTTCTGTGGAGCAACGGCAAAGTAAAGAAAATCGTTCAGCCCCACTGAGTTTTCACTTGCTGAAATTCCTCTGTGTTTTGGGGATCAGAACAGGCTCAGGGATCCGACTTGCAAAGGTGCAGTGCTTCACTCCTTGGTGGTACAGAAATGCATAACTTTCTGTCTTTCCACCTTCCCTTTCTGATCTCCCCACAAAAGTCAGTGCTTGTAGTGCTGCAGGAAAGCTCAGTTCCCTAAAGTTTCAGCAAGAGCAGAATTAAAATTGCCAGTTGCTCTTACAGATTCACTGCTGAGTTGAATACACAGAAGCAGTTGGTGAGAAGAGATGGGACAAGTCAGTGGAAGAATTTACTCTGTTCAAATGTGGTGTTTATTGCCATTTGAGGATACTTATTTGTAAAGTCAGCACAGATAGGAGCAATGGGACTTTTACCTTCTCTTCTTTTGCATCCATGGGGAACTGCACCTCTCCTGCCATTAATGCCCCAGTAGGTCCAATGGAGTGACTGTGGTGGAGGGAGCTGTCTGACAGGGTAAAAAACTGTGCATCCCTTCAAGGCTTTTAGCTGTTTAGGGGATTAAAGGGAAGATGTGAAATAAACACAGAGACACCTCTTGGTTATCTGAAGTTTTTCTTCACTTCTTGTTCCTGTTTTTCTGAATTAAGTTTGTTGCATTGCTGCTCTAGTCCCAGAGTACTTTTATTCTTGGCAGTATAGGTGGGTGTGCACTGGAGATACTGTAGTAGATGCAACAGGTTATTCTGGTACTTTTGTGTGGTAACAGTTGCTTAGTTCATTTAGTCTATATAGAGACTGCTTTCAAATCTGGATGGGTATGATGGATTTGCATTCACAGCAAAGACTTTTTAAAAGGAACCGTCCAAATGTAATATTTATTCTTACTGGTTTCATTTCAAGTAATAGGACCAAATTGCATGGAAATGCAGCACACATCAACCAGCTGAGCTCTTACAGGATAATTGTACTAGTCCTGTGTGTGTATGTTGCAGTACTGTGGTTTGCATAGTTGGTGTGTGGAGAACTTAGTGTACCATTTTGCTAAAGGTGCTAAATAAACCAACTTGCAGTACCACTGCTGAGATTTGTAATTCCCCATCATCTGAACTAGCAAAAGAATTCCAGCCCGTGGGGATCCCCTTGCCCTCTCTAAAACACTTACCAATGGTGGCTGCACAGGGTGATGGGTTGGTGCAGTATTAAATGAATGCAGTTTGGTACAGACACCTCATGCAACGGGAGACCTGCTTATAAATGTCAGGGATGTAGCTGTGGAGATCTGGGGGAGTGAAGCCTAGGAGTTCATGTTTCCTTAAAAAGTTATTTATTGGGAAATGAGATGTACAGTTTTGTAGCTTTGGGGAGGAGGTGATTTTGTATCGATAGTTCTAAAGATGTGTTGGTTTGGGTTTTGATAGGGGGATTTTTTAAGCCTTTAATTCTTTTTATTAGACCTTTAAATTAAAAACAAGGAAAAACCCCAAACCACTAGCAGCTGGTTATTTAAAATACTTTTGTTGGGTTCACTGCAGTGTCAGTCTTAGAAATCTGGCTTTGTTTTTGAATGTTGTGCAAGGGTTGGCATTATGTCACAGGAGTCACAGGAGCTTTTATGGAATCTTTAACCTTTACCAGATCTAGTTCAAGCTCTGTAAACAAGCATATCCTATTAGAGGGAATGAATCATAAATAAATCTGCTCCACAGTGTGCTGAAATTCTCACCCACTTGCCATTATTGAGTCTTCAAAAATGTGTTGTTAACTAAATATACCTATAAAATCTTAGAGTTTTTTTCTTTGCACTTTAACTAGCAGTTGGGTACTTCTACAGAAATGAATGGATTATTGAGCAAAGGTTTTAAAGATGCCGTTGATTGAGGCTAATTGTTCTTGGTGTTGGAGAAAAATAGCTGTAGGTAAATGGAAGAAATGGTACCTAGGTTATTACTTCAAATTTAGTCAAGGCTAAGTCACAAGTCACCTGTGGGTGATGTTGGCATTGAATTTGCCATCACTTCTACAACGTGCCTAGAAGCAGTAGAGGAAAAGGGGAAAAGAAATGGGTCTTGACATAGTACACCTTTTACCTCTTAGCCTGTGAAATGAACTATGAGGGAAAAAGCTACATTTTCTTAGATCGGAATCTCTTTTAAACTGTTTAACGTTCATTGGAACCAGTATTTTAAGGTAAAGGACATGAAATAAAGTAAAATGTTAAGTGTGAGAAACCTGAGATTTTACATTTGAAAGTCTCTCTTAGGGCATTTCTCTAGATTAACTGGGCTACCTGTAACTGATCCACTTAAACTGATGTGGTTCTGCTTAGACCTGACTCTGTAGTTTTCTCACCAGCCTGAAAGTTATATAGCAGTAGGCATAAACTAGCCAACTACCTTTTGAGGTGTGTGAACTGTACAGCAGCAGGTAAAAGAGAATGGCTAAGAATTTACTCATCCTGACTTGCTGCATTCCTTGCTTTTTTTCTCTTAGTCTCTTTCTTTTCAGACTCTGCTTCTTTTCTTTAGCAGATAGTGGCACATACTTGCATGCATGACCTGTAGTGTCTTTCTTGAACTTCCTGTCATTTTCTAGGTTTTTCTTCTTCCATCACTTCCCCAAAACATTAATTCCCTTTTTCCCCCCCCCCGTATCTTATCAGCTACCACTCCTGTATGTGCATGTACTCCTGGTTCTTGCTGGGCCTGTCTTAGATAGCCAGGGGAGGTAGAAACCTGCTCATTGGAGTCAGGGAGTGAAATCCTCTTGAATCTCACCCGGGTGAAGTTTTTCCTCCTTTCCCACACAGAGGCTGAGAAGAGGCTAAGGGAGGGGGGCAGCTTAATGTTTTTGGTTTTTTGCTAGTTTTCTCTTTCCCCTATTGTGGACTGCGGATCATCTAATACTTCATACCAATCTGAAGTTTGCA